TGGGGCTCCCCTTCGCAGCTCCCGGGGCTTGCAACTGCGCAAAGAAGGTGCAGATTCCTGATAAAAGGCTCCCAAACCACCTGCTGCGGTGCGGGACGGGGGGGGGGGCGCACAAACACACATAATGAACTCAGGGACGAGTGCGCACGGATGGCGCGCGACGCAGGCTTCATGGTTCACATTGAAACACCCGCTTTCAGCCCAGTGCAGGAGAAGAAGGCGGATCTGGCCCTACGCTGCCGCTCAACAGGTGCCGTCTACATCTGTGATGTGACGGTGACAGACCCCATCAGTACCCGCGACGAGAACGCATCTAAGGGGCGGGGATGGGCTGCACGGGAAGCGGCAGACAAGAAGCACGGACTCTACACGGACCGCCCTGAGTGGGTGAAGTTCTTCCCACTAGCGGTCGAGACGTATGGGTGCCCTTGCCCAGAGACAGTGGACTTCCTGAAACTGCTCGCGGAAAAGGCTGCACGGCGGCTCTTTAATGCCGAGCCCACCTCCTACCAAGCTGCCAAGCTCTTACACCAATACCGGCAGCGGTGGTCGGTGGCTCTTCAGAGGGGGCAATCGATTGGCTACCTAGAAAAGTGCAGCATAGCAGCTGCTGTAGAAAACTTTCTGCTAGAGCCAGTGGGTGAGGCCCCGTCCCTAGGGGACTGCCTCTCGGTCCTGGATCCTGCTCTGGACCTAGCTTAAGGGGGGGGGGGGGGGGGGGGGGGGGAGAGGGAGAGGGGCTGGGTGGTTGTGTGAATGGTAAGAGGGATATTCATTAGACCTACGTGCGGTTAGCTTTCACCCGGCATGCCTGTATGACCTAGTATCAATCAATGAAAGGGCCATTCGAGAGAGAGAGAGAGAGAGAGAGAGAGAGAGAGAGTGAGTGTGCGTATGTGTCTGTATGTGTAAGTGTGAGTGCGTGTATGTGCGCGCTTTCGCGCGCCGCGCGCGTGTGTGTGTGTGCGCGCGTGTGTGCATGTGCGCGCGCGCGCGCGCGCGCGCGTGTGTGTGTGTGTGTGTGTGTGTGTGTGCATGTGTGCCTGTGTGTGTGTGAATGTGTGCGTGTGTGTGTGTGCGCGTGCGTATGCAAGCGACTGTGTAATTGTTTGGTAAATGCATGAGAGTTGAAGTGCCCTTTTCAACAACTCGGTATGTGCGAGAGTGTGATTGAGTGTGAGTGTGTGGGAGTGTGAGTGAGTGTGTGAGCGTGATATATGATGTATATATATATATATATTTGAACCTTTCAAATTTTACCATAGTTTCCTTCTGAATTCCTGCTCTCCTTTGCGTGGTATATGCATGAAAATTGAGGTGTCCTAATAACCAGCTCTCCCCGCACGCCAGGTTCGAGGGTCCTCAGCTGTTTACTGAGGTGGCAGGCTGGCAGGCGCTCACGGTGCAGCTGCCAGACAATGACTGGTTCGTCTCACTCACTGCACCTGACGGCGGGGTGAGCGTGTACGTGTACGAGTCCCAGCCCACCACCACCTCCGATGGACCACAGATCCCTTCAGCTTCCCTCGACCCAGCTGCAGCAGCAGCAGCATCAGCAGCACCACCCTCCTCACCCACTCCTGCGCCTCCCCCCTCTAGTGTCAGCGCCCCCGCCTCCTCGCCCTCTGCAGCGCCAGCCCCCTCGGCGGGTGGGAAGGGGAGGGTGCGGCCGTCCAATGGCACGGGCGCTAACGTGCTGCTCGCTCTCATCCATGGCTGTGTGGCGGATGGCGAGAGCGGTCTGCAGCGGTGCAGACAGGTATGATGGAGTGTAGTTTTAGGCAGGCTGGCGCAGTGGGAAGGAAAGCGTGCAGTGGGGTATTTTGAGCTGAGTGTCGCGCGGGCAAATGGGGAGAGAAATGGGCAGCGGTGCAGAGTGGTAAGGCTGGCTGTGAGGTGGTTTCCTTTGTTGCGTGCTTCACCCACACTTTGGTATGACTCCACCGCCATGCCTGCACCTCATCCTCTCTCTGCTCTGCCTCTATCTCACACCGTCATGCCTGCACCTCATCCTCTCTCTGCTCTGCCTCTATCTCACACCGTCATGCCTGCACCTCATCCTCTCTCTGCTCTGCCTCTATCTCACACCGTCATGCCTGCACCTCATCCTCTCTCTGCTCTGCCTCTATCTCACACCGTCATGCCTGCACCTCATCCTCTCTCTGCTCTGCCTCTATCTCACACCGTCATGCCTGCACCTCATCCTCTCTCTGCTCTGCCTCTATCTCACACCGTCATGCCTGCACCTCATCCTCTCTCTCCTCTGCCTCTATCTCACACTGCCATGCCTGCACTTCATCCTCTCTCCACCTCCACCTTATCCCCGCCCCTCTCTTCTCCTCTTTGTCCCAGACTTGCGCGGTCTGGACTCTCTGCCTTCCACAACTATGCACCAACAGCAGCGCTAGCAGCAGCGGTGGTGCTACGTCTCCGCCCATGCGGGTGGCCTCGTTGGCTCTAGGCAGCTGCTTCCAGGCCTGCAACACCATGCTGCCACGCAATTCCTTCCTCCCGCCCGACAACGTCTCCTGCCCCCAGGTACACTTAAATCAATCTTGTTTGTCATGTTCCTTATATCATTGAATCCTGCATGTATACATGAGCATCATAAGAGAAGGTGTTTTTTGGTATCAAATTATGCAAAGAGGTTAGCGAAGAACCGGAATTTTTTTGGTAAGTGCTCGACCGAACCTCATTGGTTTGCTCACTACTGCCAGATTGTCGAACGTCGCGGGATTCGATGTGCTGAGCAGGGGTTGCGCGCTAGAGGTGAGAAACCTGTTCGACAAAACGAGTTTAGCGTTAGAAATTCAGTTCATTTCAGTTCATTTCTCACATTCTAAGTTGTAATTTTGCATTGCGTCCTGCCTGCATCCTGATGGTGCTAGATTCGAACAAGTTTAAGCTTGGACTGTTCCCTCGTCGTGTTCCTTTTCTCGATTCACCGTTCTGTCTTGCCTCTCTTGTTTTGCTTGTCTCTCTGCCCTCTTTAACCTCGCCTCACAGGCATTCACTCTCTTCGAGCCATTCGTCCAGACGCCCTCATGCACTGGTGCGCCCTCCTGCCCTCTCCCCACCCTCCTGCCGTTCCCACCCTCCCGCCCTACCCACCCTCCTGTCCTTCCCTCCCTTCCCCCCCTCCCCACCCTCCTGCCCTCCTCTCCCTGCTGCCCTCCTCTCCCTGCTGCCCTCCTCACCTCCTGCCCTCCCGGCCCTCCTGCCCTTCCCTTCCCCCCACTCTCCTGCCCTTCCCCCCACCCTCCTGCCCTTCCCCCCACCCTCCTGCCCTTCCCCCCACCCTCCTGCCCTTCCCCCCACCCTCCTGCCCTTCCCCCCACCCTCCTGCCCTTCCCCCCACCCTCCTTCCCTCCACCATCCTGTCCTCCTTCCCCCCACGCCCACCCCCGTGCCCTCTCGACCCTCCTGCCCTCCTTACCCCCATGCCCCCCTCACCTTCTGCCCTCCCCACCCTCCTACCCTCCCCTACCCTCCCCACCCCTACCCTCCCCACCCTCGTACCCTCCTCCTCACCCTCCTACCCTCCCCACCCTCCTACCCTCCCCACCCTCCTACCCTCCCCACCCTCCTACCCTCCCCACCCTCCTGCCCTCCCCACCCTCCTACCCTCCCCACCCTCCTACACTCCCCACCCTCCTACCCTCCCCACCCTCCTACCCTCCCCACCCTCCTGCCCTCCCCACCCTCCTGCCCTCCCCACCCTCCTACCCTCCCCACCCTCCTACCCTCCCCACCCTCCTGACCCTACTCATATTTCTTACGTTTTGCTATTTCACGTCCTTCCACAGCTTCCTCTCTTGCCGTAATGTTTCCATCTGCAACACAATGATGTGCCACATTGATTTTCCACCCTAGTCTAAACCCTTACCCTCCATCATCTCCCAATCCCAGCTCACCTAAGGACGTCAATGAGCTGGAAAGAGCTTTCTTCTGACTTTTCTATACAGCAGCCCCGTTAGGAGTCATACTCTCGGAAACTGCTGTTGTCGCCCCTGCCAATGTCTCGTGTGCAGACATCCTCTCGGAAACTGCTATTCCTGGTATGGCAACCACAGCAGCAGAAGAAGCAGACCAGGCTTCTTCCCGTCTTCACCTTTCTGCGTCGATTCCCGATAATGCAAATCAGCAAAGCCTCATGTCATCTGTCCTCCAGGTCCGTGCACTGCAATCTGCACTGTCTGCACTGCCTGCACTGCCTGCACTGCATGCACTGTCTGCATTGTGACATGACATGACACACCTGCCTATTGCTCTTTCTGTGTCATTCTTGGAACACCCGTGTGAGGCCTAATCAGCAGCTGTGTGCAGTGATGCTGATGCTGTATTTGCTGTGTTTCCTAATGCGTTCCTCTTGCCTTGTCTGTTTCAAAACCATCTCTGTTGTCTCCACTGCTGCCTTTACACTCTGCCGCTGCCCTCTTGGCTACTGCGCTCTTTCCTCTGCTCTTCACTCCCCCACTCCCCTCCCCCTCTCTCCTCTGCTCGCCACTGCCCCCACCTCTCCTCTCCTCTGCTCGCCACTGCCACGTGCAGCACCACCAGCAGGTGAGGCAGCAGCTGCAGGAGACGTGGGCGCAGCAGCATGAGGCACTCGAACCAGCAAGGCAGCAGCATGCCGTGGGGGGGGCACACGTCTCTGCCACTGCCACCACTCCCACCAACACACCCAGCACCCGCCTCTCGCCACCACAGGGCCCTAACACTCCGCCACCGTCGCCACCAGGTGCCTCCTTCCCCCTTCCTGCTTTTCCGTCCCCTCTCTTCCCCCTCGCACCTCCACTTTCTTCCTATCATCTCCTCCACCCAGGCCATCTTTCTAGTTGATTGCCTTTCTCCTTCTCTTGCCTTGCTCTAGAGGCACAGAAAAGGCTGATCTCTCAACAAGTTGAGGAAGGGACGAGCACAGTACTGAATGGCGCCTCAAACCCGCCGTTTCATTATTCATTTACCATCCAAATCTGATATATTGGTTTGGGTTCGACTCAAGTTGGATTGACCAGATCAACGCGACTGTGCCTCGCGATCAACGTTGTGCTGCTCCCACGTTGTGCTGCTCCCACGTTGTGCTGCTCCCACGTTGTGCTGCTCCCACGTTGTGCTGCTCCCACGTTGTGCTGCTCCCACGTTGTGCTGCTCCCACGTTGTGCTGCTCCCACGTTGTGCTGCTCCCACGTTGTGCTGCTCCCACGTTGTGCTGCTCCCACGTTGTGCTGCTCCCACGTTGTGCTGCTCCCACGCTGTGCTGCTCCCACGCTGTGCTGCTCGCACGTTATGCTGCTCCCACGTTGTGCTGCTCCCACGTTGTGCTGCTCCCACGTTGTGCTGCTCCCACGTTGTGCTGCTCCCACGTTGTGCTGCTCCCACGTTGTGCTGCTCCCACGTTGTGCTGCTCCCACGTTGTGCTGCTCCCACGTTGTGCTGCTCCCACGTTGTGCTGCTCCCACGTTGTGCTGCTCCCACGTTGTGCTGCTCCCACGTTGTGCTGCTCCCACGTTGTGCTGCTCCCACGTTGTGCTGCTCCCACGTTGTGCTGCTCCCACGTTGTGCTGCTCCCACGTTGTGCTGCTCCCACGTTGTGCTGCTCCCACGTTGTGCTGCTCCCACGTTGTGCTGCTCCCACGTTGTGCTGCTCCCACGTTGTGCTGCTCCCACGTTGTGCTGCTCCCTCGCTGTGCTGCTCCCACGTTGTGCTGCTCCCACGCTATGCTGCTCCCACGTTGTGCTGCTCCCACGTTGTGCTGCTCCCACGTTGTGCTGCTCCCACGTTGTGCTGCTCCCACGTTGTGCTGCTCCCACGTTGTGCTGCTCCCACGTTGTGCTGCTCCCACGTTGTGCTGCTCCCACGTTGTGCTGCTCCCACGTTGTGCTGCTCCCACGTTGTGCTGCTCCCACGTTGTGCTGCTCCCACGTTGTGCTGCTCCCACGCTGTGCTGCTCCCACGCTGTGCTGCTCCCACGCTGTGCTGCTCCCATGCTGTGCTGCTCCCACGTTGTGCTGCTCCCACGTTGTGCTGCTCCCACGTTGTGCTGCTCCCACGTTGTGCTGCTCCCACGTTGTGCTGCTCCCACGTTGTGCTGCTCCCACGTTGTGCTGCTCCCACGTTGTGCTGCTCCCACGTTGTGCTGCTCCCACGTTGTGCTAGTTGACGCGGTGGGCGTGTGGCAGTCCCTGCAGATGCCGTCTGGGTCTGGGTCGTGCAGCGCCAGTTCGCGTGGGTGTGGGTGATGCGACACCGACGGTCTTCCGTCAGGGTGTTTCCAATCCCTGCGGTGAATGTGTTCGAAGCGCAGGGGGACGAGATCAATTAGCTCGTTTGAGTCGCTGCTGCAGTTGGGAATATCAAAGTCGAGGATGTACACTCCGTTGTCGGAGTGCGCTCTTCCGATTTGCTTGCGAGGAGTGGTCGGCGACGCGTAGTGCAGCAGGGTGTCGCACGTCGTGCGGTCCGTGCTGAGTTCAACGCCGGAATCCATGAGTTGAGCGGCGGAAAGCAAATTGAAGCGCAGATTCTGGACGATGAGCACATCATTGAGGGTGATGTGCATGCGGCTTCCTCGCGCCTTAAGTACGACGATGCCTTGCGCGCTTGCGCGCAGGCGTGTGTTGTTCGCCACGATGACATAGGTGACCGTGGAGGTAGGGACGGCGTTGGATATGAAACGCTCGGAGCCCACCATGTGCTGGCCGCAGCAGCTGTCCAGGTACCAGGTGTTGTAGCGCTTGTTGTCGTCACATGCGAGCAGCGCCACACGCGGCATGACGATGTGAGGTGTGTCGAACTTCAGAAATTGCTCGCGCGAGAGCCAGTCAAGTGGCGCCACCCGCATGTCAGGTACGTGCGGGGGACTTTCAAGCAGCTGGACTGGAAGGTTCCAGTCTTGGGCGTCGTCATCGGTGAAATTGTGGCGCGTGCTGAACGAGTTGTTGTTGGAGAAGGCGCCGATTGGGTGAGGTGCTGGTTCTGGTGATGGTGAGCGCACACGGCAACGACAAGATTCGTCGGTCATGGCCATGTTCCCCATGACGTTGCGTATTGGGGTAGGCGGTGACGGCTGCTGCTGCTGATGCTGAACCGTTGGGTTCAGGTTGCGCGACGAGGGTTGATACCCCTGGGCTGGACGCACGTCGCCTCGTGCGTCTTGTCGGTCGGACTAGGTGCTCGGATTGGTCTGGCGAGGGCGAGATCGGGATTTGCATCGATCTGCCAAATGCCCGAAGTTTCTGCAGATTTTGCAGTAAAGGCGTCGCGGTCGTCGCTCTTCGGTGTTGTCGGCGTAGAAGGCGAGACGTTCTCGTTCTCGACTCAGCGCTGGTCGCTGCTGGTCCATATCCCGTTGTTCGACGAGAAGGGCGGCGCAGAGGGCGGCCTCCGAGATGACCCCCTGCTGTCGGAGAAGCGCCTTGCAGGGCCGCCATTCTGGGCCGAGCCCTTGAAGCACGATATTCACGAAGATTTCTTCGGATATTTTGCTTCCCAACTTCGCGATTTGATCGCGAAGGCTCCGACAGCGATTGATGTAGCTGTTGGCCTTCTCCCTTGGGGCCATTTTTGTCTCCAGTAGCTGCTGGAGCAGGCGGCTCGATGAAACCGAATCTTTCGATTGGTATACGCCATTCAGATGACGCCAGGCGTCGAGGGCTGGAGCAGATGACGGTTTGTATGAGCGAATGCTCAACTGCTCCGCCGGCGACATGTTGCGCAGAAGAACCCTGTGCGCCATCAGGGACTCATTGTAGTACCTTGTCCTGGCGTCGTCGGTGTCTTCAGCAGGTTCCGCGTAGCTCCCGTCGAAGTAGTCAAAAGTTATGAGCGTTCTGCAGCAGGAGCTCCAGCTCGAAGCTCCAAGTATAAAAATCTATGCCGTCAAAGCACAAACTTGTCTTTATTTTTTATATGCTCCGGAACCTTGATTGCGCAGAGAGAATTGCTTCTTCACTGGGACGGGGAGTCTTGGGGGTTGAGCCATTTGTGTCGAGGGAGAAGGTGTGCGGGGCGGCGTTCTTACCGCTAGGGGCCGGTTGAGAGGGTTGCGAGGAAGTTCCTTCGTCGCCATTCCGCAATGTTTGGAGTCCTTGCTCCAAGCTGGTGAGTCGCTGAAGCAGTTGTGCGAGGACGACGGTTCCGATCGTCGTCGTTTCCTCGTTCGTCGCAGCCGGGTTGGGCTGTGCTTCAGCCAGTGCCCTAGATATCAGACTTTTTAGTATGATTCAGAGTCCGTTCGGACTTTTTTTTGGTACCTAGTCTGAAGTCTAAGAAAATTTTCATGTACCTTGTCTGATTTTCCAGAGTTTTTTTTTATGAGTTGTCTGAAATTTCAGCTTAATTTTATTAGTGTAGGCTCAGCCTCAGACTTATATTGGGGGTACACTCTGCGCGCTTATCAGAGAGAAGTTTCCTGGAAGTTTTCTTTCGATATGCCCACTTCCGAGATGGCAGTGGAGTGCCACGACGTGAACAACGCACACGCTGGGACATCCGAATACACTCGTTTGTCGAGAATATCTCCCAGTTACGCTAAGAAAATGGTTGCGTGATTACAAGATTTCTAAGACAAAATCTCGTCACATGTAAGTTATCGATAATATATTGTAAAGAAAAGGCGACTTTGATGCTGATTTGTTGTCAAACCATCTGTAGCACGCACTGCTGTAAATTGCGAAGCTCCTGATTCGTAGTGAAAGTTTTTTGCGGCACTGCCGGATGCTCACACGCCACGCGAAGCAACAGTTTCTGCCTGCTGCCAGCTCAGCTGCGAGGCACTTGGCCCACCTGGTACGTGACAACAACCAGATCGGGTGAACGATCGCATCGCTAGAAACGCAAATCCAAAATTGACAAAAACGGCACACAGGCGAGAAAATGGGTACAGAACGTTTATCACACACACGACGAAACGAAATGCGGTCAGCAAAAACAACCATGCGCTGCACGTGACAAAAACACCGGAACGCCGCCGACATGAGCAGAGGCGATGCACAAGCACGTTGCCTGATGCAAACCCGCCGACTCTGACTGGTCAGACCTCCTGACTTCAGAACACTGACCAATCAGACTAACGTTGGCCGAAGTGCCTTCAGACTAAATCCGGGACAATTTTTTCCCCATCAGAGAGCCTAAAATTGAAACGTAGCCCTGGCGGGAAACCAAATTTTCCCGAGCGTGGCACCGCACAGTTGCGTTGGTAGGCTGTGATCATCTTCAATGCTATTATAACTATGCTTTTACGAAACTGCATGATCATCTTAAAATTTGCAGGTAACTCTGACAGTTCGGACAAAAAATGTTGTGCTTGTCTGAATTTTCAGACTAAAATTTTGAGGCACCTCTGACCGACAGAGTTCCGGAAGGGGTGTACACTGATCGATCAGAGTGCCTCAAAACGAATCTAGGGGCCTGGCTTCAGCCGTCAGATTCGTCTGACCACCAGATCCTCCGGCCATTCTCACACGCGAGCGTGTGCCGGACGCCACTTTCCATTCGTTGAAGATTTCGGAGGTGGCAGTGCGAAGGATTCCCGAGTCGCTCTCATACCATGTTACGGTCAGAGAATGATCGACCCTAGGATGACCTTAGGAAGTTTCGCACGCGTTTGAGTAGAGGTGGTGGGCCCTTGACCTCAATAGCAGAGTGAATGTAAAATGCTTGAGATGATTGAAACATGAAAATACAGAGAATATAAATAGTACAGGGGAATACGAAACGACCTAGCTAGCCATGTAGTCTAAGGGGTACATTCATTTATTCGGATTCAAACCAACCTGTCAAACTGTTATCATGTTTGTGCTGTATAGGCTGTAGTGGGGTAGCCCATATAGGGTACAACCCAGTTTAGGGTTAGCACTTGTACCCACATTCTGCTCAATGCAATCGTTCCATCTCGTTAGATTCTGACATGGTATCAGAGCAGTAGGTCCGTACGTCGCACCCTGCTGCCCTGCGCGTCATGCCCTACGGCAGCCCGCGCGTCGCGCTCTGCTGCCCCGCGCGTCGCGCTCTGCTGCAGCCCGCGCGTCGCGCCGTGCTGCACTTCTCGCGTCGCGCCCTGCTGCCCTGCACAGCGCGCGCCCTGCTGCCCGCGCCGCTCAGGCCGAGCCGCGCCGCCCAGCCCGAGCCGCCCTGCCCAACCTGCTGCTGCTGGTGGAGGTGCTACTAGGAGTGCTGGAGGTGCTGCAGCCTAGCCTCACCGAGCCGCTCTGCTGCTCTTACTGCTGCTGCTGCTGCTGCTTCTGCCCGTGCTACTGCCTTCCCTCCGTACTGCCCTACTGGTCGCGCGCCTCCTTGCTTGCCCGCTATGACTTCACTTCGTAGTAGCGGTGGGAGTGGTGGCGGCGGTGGTGGCAGCAGTGGGAGTGGTGGCGGCCGTAGTAGCAGTCGCTGTGGAGCTGTTCGGTGGGGAGTTTCTGGCGGTGGCCAGATGCAGCTGCAGCGACGTCCGTGCAAGACCCTTATGCCCCAGCAGCTTCGTGAGTGGTACGCCAGGTGGTGTGCTGGCGGCGGTCGTCATTAGTGGCAGTCGCGGTGGAGCTGTTCAGTGCGGAGTTTCTGGCGGTGGCCAGATGCAGCTGCAGCGGCGCCCGCGCGAGACCCTTACGCCCCGGTAGCTGCGTGAGTGGTACGCTCATAATTGGGGGTGTAGGACTACTGCTCGCTGCCCGTACGTCATTTGCACAGGTGATCGGGCTGGTCAGACCTGCGGGACAGTTAGTCACACACAATCCCGCTGCTTCTCCCGTCTGAGTGACGCATGGCGAGCACAGTTTGGCGACGAGGCTGAGCTACCCCTTGGGCTAGAGCTGCTTCGAGACGGAGTAGATATATTTGCTCTAGACTATGACGCTATCCTTACTGCCATGTATGCTCTGATTGGAAGTACTGAGGGTGACTATTCCCTGTGTGTGCCCCCTGATCCTGGTATAGCGGCTGCTGCTCTAGGTGCTAGTGAGTCTGCTCTCTATCGTACTGCGCCCGCTG